TTTTAATTTTTTATATTGAATTAATAAATATTTTTTAATTTTTTCTAAACAAATTAACTGATTTAGTGATTAATGTTCTAACTCCCAAGCCAATTCCATGCCTAGCCCAGCCCAACTCAACCCAATTTTTAAATTCAATTTTTTGATTTAATTTTTTTGGTCCTATTATTAATTTTATTTTAGTCCAAGATTTAGGTCTTTTTAAGTTTTTATCATTCTCTTTCCAATTTCACACTTTCATTCGGTAACCATTGAGTCAATGACCCACAAATCATTTCATAAATTGAAAACCTACATCTACATACCTAAATTGAAATCGCCGACTGTCAAGTCCGACTTCCCCTCTCCAATGTCCATCAAAGCCGCGACCTCCAACCACGATCACCGATCGTTGACCATTAAAAATCTGTTAAAAAATTTAATTATGGTAGGGAACCGAACCCAAACGGTTCCAAAATTATATTTGGACCGACAGTTCCATTTATTAAATACCCGAAAATTTTGGTTCGGTTCGGTTCGGTTCTCTTCAAAACCGAACCGGACCATGTCCAACCAAAGTCAATATGTTGAAGTCGACAAAATGACCATTTCGCCCTTCAACATTTATTACCCTCTAAGTCCCATTTCATAAGGCGAATTCGTTGCGATCACATCACAACATTCAACGATCTCATCGTCAGACTACTGAGTTCAGGTTCAATTCCCTTTACAAAATATAGAGTGACGATTGTCTCATCATGATGATTAACGGATTCAACTATTGAATGTATATGATCTCTAACTACTTCGCCCAGATTTCCAAAGCATCGAGATCGATCTTCTAATTAAGACTTTGCTCATTGGTACCTCAAAAAACTTGAACTAACAATTAAAGGTACATTACTTGCTTAGGATTTAGGTGACTAGTTCGATAATCGAGTGGTGTCTCATTTCGAGCGGTCACAAATGAGTCATCCATGCGATCCCGTTGAATGTATTTCAATACACGTTATTGTTCTTATTCCAGATCTAGACAAATTTTAATAAGAACAATGTAATCTTATCAACATAAAGCGTCCAACTTCATATACCGATTGTGAACGACATATTTTGNCACATTATTATTCTTATTCCCAGATCTAAACAAATCTTAATAAGAACAATGCAATCTTATCAATATAAAATGTCCAACTTCATATACCGATTGCGAACGACATATTTTGATAATATAACGAATTGTGTCTCACTATACCCAAACCATTGAGTATACAATTTGTTATATTTCATATGATCATGGAACCTTATATTATTGTCGCAAATTCTAACACGCAAATAATTGAACGTTAATTCATAATGTCGTTACAATATACTTATTACAAAAAGGGCATCAAACTAACATGTACCTTGGTAAAAAAGAATGACCAAAATGTAAGAAAGGCATCAATCAGCATGATCAAGTTCCAAGATGGTTGACATTCTTAAGCACGTTGAGCTGTTTTTCTTTTTCTATTTAAAGAATAAATAAAATCAATTTGCAGGAGGGTGCAATGGCTGCTGACCAGCTCATTCAACGTATTGAAGCTTCACTTAAGCAGTAGGTTCTGTGGTGAGCTCCCCCAACGTTTGATTATACAGGATTTGACGTGATTTCACAATTGCCAAAGGTCAAATAGATGGATTATTACCATTTCATTTAAGTTGATGCTGTTGTCTAAGAATATGTGGAAAAGATTGTTGGTTCCTTCTCCAACGCACATTCTCTCTGTTGATGTGCCAGTCTAGTCAAGAAATTGAAATTCTTTTAACAGTGTCATGCTGTTTGAAATAGTATTGCATATGTTATGAAAAGGAATTGATTTTCACTGTCTCGAGAATTATCCCGTTCTCATTATTCATTGCTCCTCTGTGATGTTATAATAGCTTTCCTTTGCTGCCAACTAACGTATGCCTTGAACTGCTTTGAAATTCATTCCATGTCATCAAAATTCTTGGAGACTAATTTGTCATCAATTTTTTGTACAAATGTAGCTGACTGAAAATATTTGCTCTAAAAAAAAATTAGTAAGCGTGTATGATTCTTTGAAAATTGACTAGCATATGAGAGTTGATTTTTGGATTAGCAGAGATGATTAACATGTTAAGAGGAATTGTTTAGTCGATCTGTAAACTTGGTGTTACTAGTTTATCATATGTTAATTTACACCTGTGTAATTGAAAGTATACAATATATGCTCATTTTTCCTTTCCCCTTCATTATTTCCTATATTACGAGAGAAAGGTGGATGTAGTATAAATTGTTGATGAACTGTGATGCGAGCTCTACAAGATCAACCCAATGTTAGTTATAAATGAAAATGTTGAACTGCAAGCACTTTGTGTTGCAAAGCTGAAAGTTGAGATTCTTCTTATAAATCATCACATTTTGTCCAGACCAATTTAAAAGCTAATGAGTTTTCTACCTTCAGAAAATACACAGGTCCTGAAATGTGTACATGTGCAAGATGTTCCTGCCTAACTGTTCAGCAATTCATGGAAAATTACATGCTGCCACCAAAATTTTCTCAAGATGGATTCTTTAAGCATAAAAAACTTGTTCTAAAGAATATGTAAGCATCCTTTACAGTGACACAGAATGTTATTAAAACCCAACACGGATATACACGGTTAGGATTAAAATGTTGCTGTGATGCTAGTGATTTCTGTGCTCATATCTTCTTTTAATATTTTATCGGATATTTGTTATTCCAGTACTTGGACCTTTTTGAATCAAAAATAAACATCATTTTATGATCCATCAACGTCCAGGATCTATCTATCTGCTGCACACCACCATGAAACTGGAAGACAGTACTCATCTTTCAAGCCATCCATATGTTTAACTTCCAGTTTGAATCCCCCTTCGCTCGCTTGTGTTCCTGTAACTCCATGCAAATAAGCCTCCAAACTATGTGAACTGCTCAAATTACCAGGAGTTTCAAGTAGTTTGATTCACTGGTGCCAATGGGCAACTCTTCGCCAACATCTGTGTAATTTATCAGTGGGTAGGTTGGAACAACATCTCTGGCATTCCTTGTACACAGAACTCGAAGACTTTGTAGATTAGAGAAGGTATTAAGAAAGTTATTGTCTCCCACCCGAGGAATGGCAAAAACGAAGGCTGTTACAGGACAAGCCTTGTGCGGCATGTCCTGAGGCCTGTTGTATCCATTGGTAACAATATCAACTGCATTTAGGGTAGAAACAGCTGCTCCCAATCTGTGCCCTGTAGTAGTTAAGCTAATTTCCACATTCTTGTATTCTTCTACCAGTCTTCTAACCTCGGTAAGAACCTGGAAAACAATACAAGAAATGGCTAATTTTAGCTTTTCATCTCTTGAGGTGCATTTAGGAGACAAAATGGCATGCATAGGTTTTCTGTTGATTTTTGGTCGAGTGAAAAAAGAAGAAAAGGAAAGTAGAGTGGAATATAATATTTCTTGTTTCGTAATGAAATAATTTTTTGCCAAAAACTGTTTTATCCAATTTTTCATCAGCCATAACAAACCAAGAGAAAATTTTTGTTTCCTTACTAAAAGAAAGATGAAAATCAAGTACCTCCTACCCTTCCTTCCCATCCACGTTGTACCATTTGTAGATTTTTAACTCTTAGCTTGTTAGTGAATGTGGCATGAAGTTTTACCTGTTGTCTGGCACTGGTCTTATTAAAGGGGCGATTTTGGATCATTTGAAGTTTAGATGGAGTACCAGCCACGATGCACTTTAGGGACACCATTTTTCCAAAGATTTTGGTTGTACGGAACCAAATTCAAAATCATTCACCCATTCCAATGCCCTAATTGTCCCTCTCCAGGCGATCAGGGTATCTCTCCGTCCTAACACCGATTTTCCTTCATCTGTTGCCACAGCATCGTAACCTATCCAGTTGGAGTCCTACTCCATGCTTCTCTTGACAATAACCTTATAAGAAACGCCTCTTGGACATGGATTGATGAGCGTAAAAGTATTTTGGTTGCATGGTATTTGAATGCATTTCCCATGTCAATCCCAACCTTAGGGAAGAGGTCATTCTTTGCATGTCTGTAACTTCCTGCTTACTTTGATGCCTTCTCAGAATTGAAGTTGTCGTAAGATGCTTGAGCCATTTCTCTGTAGTGAATTCTGTCTGAAGGGTCCAATAGACCTTCCCATTTGTTGTTTCCACTGAGAAGCTTCCATCTTTTGGCTGTGCCCCCTTTTTTGTATGTGCTGTTGCTCATCTTTTTCCTATTTTTCTTGAGGCATTTGAACGTTTCGCCTTACCATCCAATACCAAAGTTAGTTTCAGTTTTTTCGTGCTTTGCCCATTGAGCCTGAATCATATACAGATTCTTCTATTTGCATTATCAGATTTAAAATTCAGAAACCGCTTCTGTTGATTTTACCTTTATTCGCATGATTGTTTTTCATTATATTTTTTAGCGTGATAGTTCGCTGATATTATATATCATGATCATATAGTATAATACATATTAAGAGTAACTAAGAATGATAAATCTTCCTTTCTTATTATTTATTATTAAATACGAAATGCAATAATTGGCATGATAAAACTTCTACTGAGGTTTTAGACAAATTATGTCATTCGTAAATTGTAATAGATTAATGTGAAGAAACCATTTACAGTGATGTTATTTATCATTAGTAGAGCTCACGATTACGAAATTGAACTGAATATCAACTATAACTGAGTGAGACCAAATAAACATAGGAGGGATTACTCGTCCTCAACACAAGAAAGGGGCATGGGAAATTCTTTTTCTTTTCTTGTGCTGAAACAGCCATAAGTCTTGATCCTCCCCGAAACCATCTCATTAAGACCTAATACCAAACGTAGGAAACACTTCAATAAGCCCTTTAAGACCGTCTCTTCTTTTCCACATCCTCACTCCTCCTTCTTTCCGGATACTAAAGTTTCTAATGCTACGGACCCAGCTTTCCCAATCAATTCAAATTAATGTGTAGGA